AGGGTGGTCAGGCACTGGAAGGGGCTGCCCAGGGAGGTTTGGAGTCCCCACCCCTGGAGGTGTCCAAGGAAGGACTGGAGGTGGCACTCAGTGCTCTGGGCTGGGGGACAGGGTGGGGATGGGGCACAGGGTGGACTCAGTGATCCTGGAGGGCTTTTCCAGCCTCAGTGATTCTGTCTGTGGGGTTTGTTCTGGACATTCTGCTCCTCAGCAGTGTTTGGGAGCTGTTCAGCAGGGCTGTCTCACAGCTCAGTTTTTCAGCCTGTGCAGATATGGCCCTGCTGCTGATTGTACTGGGACAGTTGTACTGGTAGAAATTCAGTTTATCTGTTCAGCTTCCAAAAATAATGTAATTGTTCATTTATTTGCATAATTCATCCCCATGCAGGACCTTAGAAAGGCTGGTTGTGTGAATGGCACTGGCAAACCACAACCAGAACTCCTTGATATCCCAAAATGTGCCGTGGGTTTATAGACAGAGAGTCCTGGCTCAGGGCTGAGAGCTCAGCTGGGTCCCTCCATGAGCCCTTTGACTTTCAGAGGAAGAACTTTATAATTTCCATGATGGAGTTGAAATGCTGCAATGTAGCTTCCAGGAGCTGCAGCCCAGTTTTGCCCCAGACACTGGAGCAATCCTCTGACATGACCATCTCTCCCCTTCAAAGTCCCTCTGTGGGCTGTTAAACTCTGCTTGGGCTGTCAGGGTGAGCAATCTCCAAATGTTTCTCAGCCTGGTGTTACTGCCTGATAACACTCATTTCACCCCAAAGCTTGTTTTAAAGCTTAATTCATGTCTCTAAAAGTGACACTTAATTTCAGGGAAGTTTGGCAAGCTTCTGGGTCATCCCAAATTTATCATCTCCAGCAGGATCAGCTAATACACAGCCTTCAGATTAGATGCTCTTTGGGCCTTTAGACAGGAGTCGAGCTGATTACTGTGAGCCTGTTTATAGTTGAAGGAATCCTTTGAATATCAAGCTGGAGAACTGATAAATAGGTTGGTTTGTTCAGCTTTAGCATCTGAAGATACAGAGGGACTGTGAGCAGTTCCATCAAGACAACACACTGGATTGTTTGGAAGGTGCTGTATCCAAATATTCACTTAGACTTATTGCTCCTGAGTAATATCCCTTAAGAGCAAAGCAGGGAATGTGTGGCTGGGAAGTCCTGGCACCCACTGGTGCAGACTTGGGACCATCAGTGGGATTTGATTCCAGAGAATTCCATGGCAGAGCCAGGGGGAAGTTGTGGCAGAGCTAGTGGAGGAGTTGAGCTGCCCTGAGCTTCCTGAAGGGAAAAAGGGAAACAGGGCTGGAGACCCTCCAAGCTGGGTTTGGAGGGCGTTTTTTCACGTTTGGTTTGAAACTTTGCAGTGAGGAAGTGACTGTCCCCCTGTGCTGGCACTGCACAAATCCTGGGGACAGTTCTGGGCCCCTCAGGACAAGAAAGACACTGAGGGGCTGGAGCGTGTACAGGGAAGGGAAGGGAGCTGGGGAAGGGGCTGGAGCAGCAGGAGCAGCTGAGGGAGCTGGGGGGGCTCATCCTGGAGAAAAGGAGGCTCAGGGGGGACCTTCTGGCTCTGCAACCCCCTGACAGGAGGGGGGGAGCTGGGGGGGGTCGGGCTCTGCTCCCAGGGAACAAGGGACAGGAGGAGAGGGAACGGCCTCCAGCTGTGCCAGGGGAGGGTCAGGTTGGACAACAGAAGGAATTTATTCATTAAAGGAGTGTCCAGCCCTGGCCCAGCTGCCCAGGGCAGTGGTGGAGTCCCCATCCCTGGAGGGGTTTAGCAGACATGGATGTGGCTCTTGGGGACATGGGTTAGTGGTGGCCTTGGCAGTGCTGGGGGAAAGGTTGGACTCGATGATCTCGGAGGTCTTTCCAACCACAACAGTTCCACGATTCTGTGACACTGCTTGGTTCTTGCTTAACCTTTTGTACTTCCCTTTAGCCCAGACTCTTTTACTGCCTCCTTCCCAGCAGCACAGCAAGTGCTTCAAGAAAGAGACTGTAAAGTCTCTGCTCACCTGGAGCAGAGTTGTAAACAGTGCCCAGCCTTGGCCACTGATATTTTATCTCATTCCCAAGTGTCAGAGCAGCACTCACTGTGTGGCTCTAGCAGGGTGACCACACTCCTCCCCGTTTCCCCCGTGGTGAAGGACCCAATTTCTCTGCACAGTAACTTTAGGGAGTTCTGCAAGTCCTGCTGTTCCCTCCTGTCACCACAGCTGGGCCTCCTGGCAGCAACCAAGATGAGTAAACCCCTTCTCATCCCTAAAGCTGGCTGTAGTTTGTAGGACTCTGTTTTGATGTTGAACATGGGCAGTTTTCCTTGCCTTGAAAGGAAGCTGGGGCTGCTCCACATGGTGGAAGTTGATTTCAGTAACTGAAGAGAAAATGCTGGAGCTCTGGGCTCCAGTGCTTGGCATCTTGCTCAGTTTAGCTGCTTCCTCTCTCTTCCCTCAAACAGCTCAGCAGCAAATCTAGGAGAGCATGTCCTATTTCCAATTTAAGTTTCCTCCAAAGCCCATTTTAAAGCAGCCATATTACTTCTACTGACAAGTGATCTGTGAGGGAATAATCTCCCATGAATGCCGTTGCTGGATTTTGAAAAATGGCAAAAATAAGACTTGGGGCTGTGCTGGTTGACAGCAGAGTCTGGCTCAGGCAGCTGTATTAGAGGGAGGAGGAATGCAGCATTCCTTTGAGCTCTCATCCAGAAATCCTGTAAGAACAGGAATTTTAGCAGTGCAGGGAGGTCTCAGTTGAGATTAGACCTTGCTGGACAAGCCTGTTTGCAAAGAAAAGTTGAAGATCTGGGCAGGGCAGAGCCAGGGTGGGGGATATGCTGGGTCACAGCCAGAGGCAGTTGTGTGTGTGAGGCTGTGCCACTGGAGAGTGTGAGAACCTGCTACAGGATCTTCTGGGTGTCATCCAGTCCCAGGGAAAGGTGTCCCCAGTATTGCTTATGGCTTTGGGGACTGTCAGTTCCATGGTAGAAAACTGAACCACGGAATGGTTTGGGTTGGAAGGGACATTAAAGATCATCCAGTGCCACCCCCTGCCATGAGCAGGGGCACCTTCCACTATTCCAAGTTGCTCCAAACTCCATCCAGCCTGGCCTTGGACACTTGCAGGGATCCAGGGACAGCCACAGCTTCTCTGGGCAACCTGTGCCAGGGCCTTCCCACCCTCACAGGGAAGGATTCCTTCCAGTATCCCATCTAACCCTGCCCTCTGGCAGTGGGAAGCCATTCCCTCTTGTCCTGTCACTCCAGACCTTGTAAACAGTCTCTCTCCATGTTTCTTGTAGCCCCTTCAGGTCCTGGAAGGCCACAATTAGGTCACCCTGGGGCTTCTCTTCTCCAGGATGAAAATCCCAACTGTCTCAGCCTTTCCTCCCAGCAGAGCTGCTCCATCCCTCTGGATATTGGGGGTTATTCACTCAGAGAGGCAAATGTTGCAGTATTGTCCATCCCCACAGAGCAGGAGGGAGATGGAGCCCAGGCCATGGGAGCAGCCTGGCTCTGAAGCCCCCAAAGCCTCACTTCATCTGGCACTTGGGCCCTTTGCCATCTCACAGGGGGTCCTGCCAGGCACCTCCTCTGTGCTGCTGTTTGTGCAGTGTCCTGTGTCACCTCAGGCTAAAACCACCTGTCCTGACCCCCCAGCAAGGTCAGAACTGGTGTGAGGAGCTGGGATCAAACCCCAGGTGAAGCAGGAGAGGAGCCTGGGCAGATCCCAGCTGGCTTTGAGTGGCAGAACCAGAGCATTGTGCTCCACGTGATTCCCCCTTGGCCGTGTCTGCCTTCACACAGTTTAACTTCCACCTGGTGCAGCTGTTGTGGCATCTGCTGGCACTGTCATTCCTGGCTGGCTCCCTGCCCTTGGAGGTGTGGGGCTCTTTGGAATTCTCCCTGGAATCTTGTGCCAGAGCTGCCCAGGGACAAACAGGCAGGGCAGGGAATTGTGCTGCTGCTGCTTGGAGGAGCTGAAGGCCAGTTGTGCTGAGCAGAAGACTTTTTTCTCTGTCCAGCTCATGCTGGTTTGTTGGCAGGAAGAAGACCTGACAGCTAACATTTGATATTTTTTTGCCCCCTAAAGCAGGTAGTTGGGATGTGCTGGGTTTGGGGCCAGCCAGGCCAGTGCCACAGAAAAGCTGCCCTGTGAGTGACACAGCGAGGCATCACAAATCCCTCTTATTTTTATGCTGATTTTGAAGTGACTTTTAATCCTTGAGACATATTGGCCTCTAAGCACTTTTTTTTCAAAGAGGGATATAACCCTACTCAAGCAGTTTGGGTAATAATAGCACTTAGTGCTTAATCAGTGTTGTGAGATTAATCCTCCTGGAACAAGACATTTAAATGGAATTGTGTTGATCTTGGGAATGGGGCAGTGCTTTCTCTGGGCATGGAGGAGCAGCTCCCTTGCTGTGGCTGCACCAAAACCACAGGGATGGAGCTGGTGAGCCTGAAGGTTGGATTTAGGCTGAGCTTTGCGTGTTGGGTCCCTTCCCCTGCCCTCACAGCTGCTCTGGGAATCAGGTGTTGTCCTCTGGGCTCAGTCAGACCTGCCAGTGGGGATTTGGGATCCTGGCTTCTGGGAAGAGGCTGTTGGAAGGTCATGGCTCAGGGCCAGGGAGATGTCTGTGATTCCCTGTTCTGCTCCCTCCCACATTGCTGGGGCAGACCTGTGGTTCTGCCAGCCTGTTCCACAGAGGGGTTTTCTGGCCACCCTGTTGATTCAAACAGGACTGAGCAATATAAATAAACGTCCCATCAAAAGGAACCATTCCCAGTTGGCTGAAGTCCCTTGGGTGGCCACGGCCTTGGCTCTGATGTGCAGCTCTGCCATTGCTGGGGGTGTCACCTGGGGGCCAGTGAGGAAGAGCAGCACTGAGTCTGTGATGCTTAATCCTTTTGGGTACCCATTGGTATGTTTTATGTCTCAATTACTGCAGGTTAAAATCAGCTCTTCATTATTTTTTGCTTTGTTTTCAGGTTACAAACTCATTGGGAGCCATTCCGGGGTGAAGCTCTGCCGGTGGACAAAGGTGTGCTCTCTTTCCTTTTCTCTTTTGGGAAATAAAACAAAGCTAGAGACTTACTCAGGTATTTCACTTTCCCAGTGAAATGTCATTTAAAAGTGTGCACAAAACCAAATTGCCTCTTTCCAGCTTTAGTCTTGCATTTCAAGCTGTTAAAACCCCGCTGTGAAGAGTGAGAATGTAGCTGTGGCAAAGAGCTGGGAACATCATTTGCTGCTTTTTCCTGTTATTCTGCTGTCTGCTAAAATCTCTCCTGCCTGCTGGAATACATGGCAGGAGCAGGACACTGCAGAGGAAAGGGGGAAGGTTACATCACCAGTGTTTCCATCACCAGTGTGAGAGCTCTGAAACAGGGATAACAACCCATTGTTCCACCTGGACAGGCACACAAGGATGTTTGAGCCTGTTGTGCTGGGCTGGGACAGTCACTGCTCCTCCACTGGTTTTCTAAATCAGATTTAAACAGTGAGGTGTCGCTTCTTAATGGTAGGACTATTAAAAATTCCCCTTGTGGGAGTGTGTATGGATGTGGTTGTGTGTAATACCCGTGGGTATGTACATATGGGAAAGGATAAATACAGATGGAAAAGGGAAACAGATACAATTTGGGCAAGAGGCTTTTAGGGTGTGTAAAAGCCCCTCAGGAAGGGGCTGGTTTCCTAAAATAGGGGAGAAACCACTGAAGAAGCATCAAAAGCTGGGAAATGGCACTTGGGGACATGGGTTAGTGGTGGGCTTGGCAGTGCTGGGTTAATGGTTGGACTCCATGGTCTTAGAGGGCTTTGCCAACCTCAATAATTCTATGATATATATGAAAACACCACCCTCCCAGCCCTGCAGTTGTCTGTTGTAGGCTCTGTAACCTTTCCAAGCAGTTTGCAGACTTAGAAACATTCCCAGCAGAGGCACAAAGCCCTGGAGAACAGAGTTCAGCTACTTGAGGGTGTTTGTAGTTTCAGTTGTTCTCTGCAGGACCCTGAGAAACTCAGGATTTGAAAGTTTGTCTCTAATGTTGTACATTTGGAGAGTAACATTGATCAGAGAATCCCAGATCATTTAGGCTGGAAAAGAGCTCCAAGATGGGGTCCAACCATCCCCCCAGCACTGCCAAGGCCACCTCTGCCCCAGATCCCCACGTGCCACATCTACAAGTTTTTAAACCCCTCCAGGGATGGGGACTCCCCCCCTGCCCTGGGCAGCTGGGCCAGGGCTGGATAATCCTTTCCATGAAGAAATTTTTCCAGTATCCAACCTGAGCCTCCCCTGGCACAGCTGGAGGGTGTTTCCCCTTGTCCTGTCCCTTGTTCCCTGGCAGCAGAGCCCGACTTCCCCCAGCTCCCCCCTCCTGTCAGGGGGTTGCAGAGCCAGAAGGTCCCCCCTGAGCCTCCTTTTCTCCAGGCTGAGCCCCCCCAGCTGTTCCTGGTGCTCCGGACCCTTCCCCCTCCACGCTGCAGAACACCAACCCCTCCAGCATTCCTGGGATGAGAACCTGTGGGAATCAGCCCCTCATTAACGTGCCAGCACATCTCTAATTCCTGCACCGTGCAGATGATCAGCCCTTGGTCTCTCAGCTCTGTTTTGCTGCTTGATTAACTCTGTTTGTTTTGGAAAGAGCCCTTGGAATGGCAATCACCAGCGAGTTTGTATTGTCAGTGAACTGTTTCATCAAAAACCTTGTTCTCCTCGCCCAGCCCTGTATTGTCAGGAGTGTTTGTGAGATACATCGATCCCACTGATGCTTCTGCTGCTCACTCTTACAAATATTTCTCTCCTCTATCATTTTTAGTGTCAGAGAAGGCCGTGAAATGTTCAAAGAAAAACTTGTCAAGCTCCAATGTTGCGACTGAGAAAAGCAGAGAAGCTGCTTTTATTAAAGAAGCAGAATTTAATGCAATGCTGTAAAGCCATTTCACAAAATAAATAGCAGCTCTATGTGCTTAGATAGGCCCACACTATTTTTAGCTTAAGCAGGAATTGAATGTAAAGGCTTCTAATAAATTGAGCTGAAATTGGTTCCAGGCAGTGGCTTTGCCTCAGGTTCACACCAGTGTGTGAGTGTCTCCAGGAGCCTCGTTGGAGATTTGTATCACTGGAAAGCAGGAGCAGGGCTGGCAGGATTAGCATTAAATAGACTTTCATAGGGATATCACAGATAGCAAAGATTGTGCTCTGTCAAATCCCGGAAAAGAGCGAAAAAACCTGCAAATTTTCAGAAGAGTCCCAAATATAACTCCTGCTCTCCTGGAATTTGTGGATCTCCTGAAGTCTCTGTTTGAAGAATGGGTAGAATAAACAGCATTTCCCACCTTGTTTCATCTTCCACCTGTACAACCAGCCTGTGCATGTCTTAGGGGTTACCTGGATATTTTTCCCTGCTGCTCAGTGAAGACTTTCCTTTGGATCACCAGGATCCTTCAGGTGCATAAGAAGCTGCTGTGTCATATTGCAAATTTGCTTTTGAGAGTAGTAGCTTCTTTCTCATTTATTATTATTTAACTGAGCTAACGAAAGGCAGTCTTTGCTCCGAGCAGCTTGAATGCTAAACAGGAGTTCATTCCCATTGGGAAGCTGCTGTGTTTGTGCTGGGAAGGGAAGTGCAGAGTCCTGCTGGAGCCACTGCTGGGTGTGAATGAGGGTTTATAAGGTCAGGGTGTTTATTTAATTTAGTGCTGGAAGAAACACTCTGGCAGACAAATGAAAGGAATTGAGTGTTCAGTAGGGCAGCCTTAAAATTGATCCTTGTTACTCCTTTTACAACAACACTTCTTGCATCTCCAGTGGCTTCTCCTGTTTTTTTCGTGGGCTGGTTCAGTGAAAGCTCCACATTGTTGTGCTGGGGTCTGCAAGGGAGGAGGTACTGATGAGATTAAAGTTTTTTCTCCTCCAAAACAGTTGTAAATTTGACCTCATAAATGCAGTTTGGCTGCAGGGCTGCGTATAAACAGTCCCACTGTTGATATGTGTGTGCTGGGAATCGCTCCGAGCGGGTGGCACTGGTGGCACTGGTGTCCTGGGTGACCTCACAGTGTCACTCACAGGGCTTTGAACTGGAGTTCCTGGGGACTGAAGGGAGCAGATCTCAAACTGTGCTCTCACTGTGCTGGTGTT